AGCTGATCTCCCCACTGAGGAAAATACACACACAATGTTTTTAAGTCTGTGAAACTAACATAGTTACTCTCTGAGTTCCCATATATCACAGGTCATAGGTGTCCTTTTAATGGTGCAGCTATTATTCTACGATGTGTGAAATGGACAAACGTGGCAAAGTGCAGGAGGTGTGTGTGTGTTTTGTTGTTTTTTTTTTTACAGATGAAAACAAAAGGGAAGAGAGATGCATTATGGTCCATCAGGGGCATAGTATCGTCCCACTAATCTCAGCACGGGAACAGGGGAAGCACTAGAGTGTACCAAGAATAGCACCTTCCAGCAGAGATTGTACATGAAATTTCAAAAGAAATCAAAGCAGTTGCACAGATGTTTTGTTTGGGATTTAAATTTAAATGTGTTTACCTGCAAGAAACGAAACGGTTTATTGAAGAAGCGTGTTCACTTTATGAAAAAGAGTGTGTGGGGATGAATACAATGTCTCCCAATGGTGTCTAAAGACAAACAAAAGCATTACAATGCTGAGGAAATACAAGAACCTCATTGTCCATCTGTACTGTATAATAACACCTATTTTCTGTGGTTGGAGGCATCGGTGTATGTAAACTCACACACAGAGAGCGGCAGTGGATGAATATGAATTATTTGAAACCGCAAAGATTTAGGTATGAAGTAGAAGCAAAATATTTTCAAACAAATATACAGAATGAAAAGAAAGTATAGTGAGTCAGAGAGACAGAGGCGCGTTGTTCATTCTGACTTCTCTGTGAATATCCTTTGTTTACTTTCATAGCTATTAGTGAACCTAATGCAGGATAACAAAGAACAAGGCGGCAGAACAAGAGAGGAGATAAATCCATAGATTAAGTATCCGTGTTGCGCCTTTAGGGACTGAAAGTTTTCCAACACTCTACAAATCATTAATCATGCTTCTTCATGTTTGAAGAACAGAAGGAGAGAAAGCATACTTCTGTTTGAAAGTGTCATATATAGTATAACACAAATGAGAAAATTTGTTTCAGTCACATTCATTTCATATGGATTTTGTTATTTGTTAAAGTAAAGGATAAGGCTGATTATATTTTTGCTTAATTATTCACAACGAATCATACGACAAGATTAAAGATTAACAATTTGTTAGTACATCTCTCATCACTATCTCATTCCTCAGTCTGTCTGTGGCTCTTAACCCCAAGACCTTCTCTTCCTACTGAAGGCATCTTTAAAACAGGCCATGAATATACTTTCATTCAAAAAAACAAAATAAAACAGAACCTAATGAATGTGTGCAATACAGCTGGGCATTGTAGTTTTTGCAAGCATTACACAAACAGGAGTAAATAGTGTTTTGGACTGGGACTATTTTCAGTAGTGGATTTGGTGCGTTTGGGAGTATTTACAGCAGCAGAACGGTTCATGTGGGATTGACTCAAAATAAACTACAGTTCCCAAGTTTATGGTCAGGAAGGAACATATCACTCAATGCAACAGTGTGGCTTACTGGTGTGTTTTTAATAGTTTTTGGACAAAATTGCAGGTTTTTGACACAAGAATGAGCTACAGTATATCAGGCTTTGACCACACAGACAATACTGGATTAATTAGTTGAAAAAATAAAGAATATCACCTTACCTTTCCTTTAAAGCTGCAAATGTTTTGCACCACAGCTCGCCTACACTGTAACGCCTTCTGCAGCAGAGGTTGATGTTTGATAGGAAATGTTTTAAAATGGTGATTTTGTTAGTGTGTAGAATCTCTTCGTGCTTACCCTATGAAGAGGAGACACATCTGCACATGTTTGGATAGCAGATACAAAAATACAGAGGCCAGTAATATGACCATCGACCACTGTCTGACGCCCCAAGTCATGCTTGTGGTAAGCATGGCGATATATTAGAATGGCCTGGAGACGGTGAGCTCAGTCCCACCCTCGCTTCGACGTGACACCAGCTGATTTACACTAATGACACACTGGCTCTTCTTCTCCAGATGCGCAGCTTCCTGGGATTGACGTGAGTTTTGGCCTTGCTCGCCTCCAACCTTTATCTTGTTAGAGACAATTGAAAAAAGCAATTACCTGCAGATGCTGCATTGTGTCTGACAAACAAGGTAATGCAGCGGAGGACAACCAGTGACTGCTCTCTTAATCCCTCTCTCTCTCTCTCTTTTCCTAAGAGGCAGCTTTTTTTTTTTTTACTCCACTGCACCCATCTTGAAACATTTATAACCACATCTCCTCCAACTATTGTGCCTACAAATAGCCTTCCCTACACTGCTGACCCTAAACAGCCCTGGCAGCCGGCTCTGACCATCCACTCTTTCTCCCCTTTAAAAGGACTTGAATAAAGCTTTCCCTTCAGCATCCCACTCCAGGAAATGTTTTGGCTCTGTCCTGTTGGTCTGTTTCTCTCATTAAGCCTTTAGGAGGATTTGGGAGGTTATGGGTCGCCACAGCTCCACTTCTCTTCCTGAATCAGGCTCCAACTTTGTTTACAGTCTGGGATAAATAAAAGGCTTGGTAGATGGAAGTGCGGGCTGGAGAGAATTGCAAATCAACAGAGTGTAAACAATACCAATTTTCTCTTGAATAAAAACGCAATTAGCAGAGCATTTAGCTAATGAATAGTGACAGATTGCGAGGGATCTGCGTTTAGTTGTGTGTGAAGATTTTTTTCTTCGGAGAAAATGATGATAATTTAACATGCCATGCTGCTCTAAGTCTCCTAGTTTGGACTCTAACATAGGTGAAGTGTGTAAGGGAGACATGCCTCTCAGTAACAGAAAACACTACATCTAATTAAAAGCATTGTGCTCCGTTCTTACTGCAATGGAGCAGTTGATTAGAAAGATAATTGAACTGGGAAGTGAGATTTGAAAAGGGAGTTACATGTCTTATCAGAGAGTAATCAGTATACTATCAGGAAGTAAATGACCTGTGAATGTTCATGTAAATATTTCCACCAAGGCTAATGCAACATACATCAAGGGAGATGACCATGCTCTCTGGAGAAATTAAATTACATACAACAACATCCCATTAAATTGCACATATGCCAATTAACATCACTTGCATCCTGTTGAAGATGAAAATATACAAAGATAATTTTACCGCCTCTTGTGAGGACGACTTGCGCCAGACATTTAATTCGTTTCAAGAGTTTGTGAATCCCTTTAAGATAAAGTTTCCTTCCTCACACCAGCTCCACTTCTCTCAGACTGTCTCATTCTGCTCATGAATAAAATGGTAGCGCATGTCAAGAGAGAAGGAAATATGCAACCACCTTCATTCTTGTTTCTCTTGATGATAGCTCAACAACACAATCATGAATATGAGCTCACCTCACAAAAACCACTTCATTAAACTTTGTTTTTTTAAAATTCCTTTCAAGCATCACACCACTCAAACAGGGTGATTATCTTTGGCAAGGCACCAGTGAGCCGTAGGAGAGCTTTGAAGACATTCCTAAGGAGATATAAATAGTGTATTTATCCCCAGCACCCCCATGCACACAATAGGCTGATATTGAGCTGGTCAGACTTCTCCTCACAAACCAGAGTGTTTTTTTGGGGGGTTTCAGAGAAGAGCAGGCCTTTTCATGCAAGCTTCATCACGTATTCAACATTTCACGTATGCGTTATATCCCAGATGAATCATGAACTGAGGTTGTATGGAAATCAGCAGCTCAAATATACCTTTGAATATAATCACATTTCCTATTCATGTATGTAACTTGCAGGAATGTCTTCATTGTAAATGACTGTATATTTTATATTTTTCCCATATAGCTTACTGACTTGTTCGTGCTGTCAATAATTTCTTTACTGGCAGAAAGTTAGAGCATAGCTGTGGTGATAATTTGTAGACCTTTTCCTATGATAATACAGCTTTATAAAGCAGAGGATTACAGCTTGAGGCATGGCTTGTGGATATTAAGCTCTCTTATTGAACCAAGGAGATTTGATGGTGGATGGAAGTCCAGCTCCACCTGCAATAACTGTGTCCAGAGATGCTATTTTTAAGGTCGAGGGAGGATGGCTGTTTTGTTTTTGTTTTTTTTGTTTTTTTTTCAGAGCATCCTTCCACTAACATGTTCAGGACTGTCACAATCAGTAATATGTATTGAGTTTCTTTCTATCATCTTGCCAGATACTTTTCCTGCGTCAAAGAATGAAAAATGAATTTGGCACCACGATCTAAAAAAGACATCAGCAGGACAACATAACCCAGATTTAAACTCTTGTCCCATAACACTGAAATCAGGTTGTGCTGCAGTATTGTGATCTCACAAGGTTTAAATATTTACTGACAAAATATTGAGCTGAATTTTGTGCAGGTTGAAATGAAATACGCAGACTGATCCAACAGAGTTTGCACACGCAGGCCTCAGCTTGGCAATTGTTCTGGTGTGAGGTGGTGTGATGGTGTGGTGGGGGTGTGAGATTAGACTCTTACGTAAGTTTGGGGGTTCACTGATAAGAAATGGCCGAGAGCCTTGTTGGAGCTTTAACTGCAGCAAGCGAAGAAATATACGTATCTGAAAGACCTATAATAATGTCAAACACTCCAACCAGGCAGCATTCTACACTTGTGATAAACCCTGTTTTAATCTATAGAATTTTAATTTCATTTTTCCCTCCCGTAACACCTGCAGGCAATGCTTGCTTGCTTATCCCTGTGCTTATATTTTATAGACAATGGAGATTTATCTTCTATTTATCTCAACACAAGAAACGCTCACTGTGAACCATCTGCCAGCACTGGAATCCAGTTATATACATGACTTCATTTTCACTACAGTAGCTCTTTCCTGTTACTTGCTGCAGCATAAAACATTGATCCAATGCAAGGATTTCTTTCTCAAAGGTTCAGATTTGCAGAACTTGTTATACAGTGACCTATATATTAAAACTTCCCATATCTCAAGTGGGATAAATATATCTGATGATTAAATTAATGACCATGTTTGATGCTTACATCCGATGTGCAACAACACATCCCAATATTTGTCTTTTGTTTTGCTCCACTTTACATTTTATTCATAGACATTTAAATGTGTACACAAGACTAGATCTTTTTTTTTTTCAATATGATAACAGTTACATTGAAATGATTTGGGCAGGGGAAATTGCCAAGAAGAATGAGTTCTACTAATAGGCCTATTACTTCCCAGCACTGTTGATAGATGTGTCCCTTTCAATGTTTATGTTCGTTTAGGAGTTCTGCATACGATTTTCTTGAAGGCTTTTCTGAAATCCCTGTTGAAAATAGTGTATATTATGGGGTTCACGGAACTGTTGCAGTAGCCAATCCAAAAGAAAAGGTTGAAAAGTGCTCTTGGGATGTAGCAGCTGTCTCTGCAGATCGCATGCAGGCTGTAAGTGAAGAAGAAGGGGAACCAGCAAAGCACAAACACCCCCATCACCACCGCCAACACGAAGGTGAAACGCTTCTCCCGCATCTGGGCCACTTTGGTCTTGTTGGCCGCGGCCAGCTGTTGTCGCTCAGCTGGGTTCTTCTGCTGCGGGTAGAGCTGCGACGCCCGGGCCGAAGCCCACGAGAGACGGCAGTTCTGAGGCGGGCAGCAGTCCGACCCCTCCACCTTCCTCCGCTTGGTGAAGCGATGATTGCGGGGTTTAGTATCCGACGCACAGCAGCTCTCCTCCAGGTCGATGTCATCCAGCTCCCCCTGCCTTTGCTGGTGGCTGCCCGAGCTTTGGCTACTGGGGCTCTCCATCTCAAACCGGTCCTTCCTGACGAAACAGGTCTCTGACTGAGAGGGCTGCCTCTCCAGGCCGTTCTTGGCCACGAACACGGTGGAGGAGCGCTGCTTGGCCACTTTATAGATCTTACAGTAAACCAGAATCATGATGAGACCCGGAGCGAAGAAGGACACCAGGCAGGAAGAGAGGATGTACCAGGTCTCATCGTTCAGTTCACACTCCCGTTCGTCATGTTTGGTCATGAGAAGAGGAGGAAAGGAGATGATAGCAGATATTAACCAAACTACAGCAATCATGGACTTGATGCGCTTAGGTGTCCGCTTCAGGTTGTAGCTGACCGCCTTTGTGACTGACCAGTAGCGGTCCAGGCTGATGGCGCACAGGTGCACGATGGATGAGGTGCAGAACAACACATCCAGAGCCAAATAGAAGGCGCACCAAGTGCTTCCAAAGTACCAGTAGCCCATAACCTCGTTGGCGAGAGAGAAGGGGATGACCAGCGTGGCCACCAGGATGTCCGCCGATGCCAGAGACACCAGGAAAAGGTTCTGAGGCGCACGGAGAGCCCGGCTGGTCAGCACCGCCACAATCACCAACACATTACCGACAATGGTCACCGAAATGATCACAGAAACCACCAGGATGATGAGCGCAGTGGCTGCCTGAGTGTGTGGCAAGGCAAGCGGTGCGTCCGTTGTGTTCTCATCGTTGGAAACGTTTTCCACTAACTGATTTAACTGGGTTAAATCCATGCTGGCTCCAGTTTGTCCTTTCGTACCATGTTGTTGTTTTGCACCCTTCTACTTCCCAAGAACAGCAACGACTGGGTGCGCTGAGCTGCCTGCCACTAACGCACGGGGATACGTCGTGCGTAATACTCCTTGTCAGTGCAAACAGAGTGTAGCTCACTGAAAACACTACACATGCACAAACGTACCTCCTCAAATAGTAAAGCCTTCATCACAGGTACTCCAGATAGTCCCGTCGCGCACACCGCCCGAATATAAACATACTTATATCACAAAGGTGAGGAGAACAAGAGTTCACAATCCACCAGTAAAGACATTCTTCCGAGATCACACCGCCGTGCGTAATGCTGCTTTTGCGTTTTGGTGAACAGCATCGATTTGGAGAAGCACGGGAGATGCACACTGCTGGTGGAATGAATGTCCATACAGGAGTGAGGTGACATCACAGGGAGGACCAACCCATCTCTAAACTTAAAGGAGAGAGAGAGAGAGGAAGAGAGAGAGAGAGAGAGAGAGAGAGAGAGAGAGAGAGAGAGAGCATTGTTTAGACAGTTGGATTTGAATTTCTTTGATTGTTAGTTTTTCTTAGGTGAGCCCTGTGCTGGTTGTGTTTGATTTCTCTCTTTTCATGTGTAACTTTTCTCAGCATTACATAGGTTACAGCATGCTGGGAGTGTAGTGCAGAACAAAATGGCCACTGTAATCATTTTAAATGATTTATTAAAAAAAAAAAAAACTTGACATGGATGACATGGCCATTGAGAGCACAGCTGGAGGTTTCTCTGAACTTTATCAGCCCTGCAGGGCGACTAATTAGGAGGCCACAGTTTTCAGAGTAAAAAGGCTTTAATGCATCAGTGATTGACTGATCTGCACTTGAACTTTGTCTCTGAAATGTAAAGCTGGGCTACACATGGTGTGCCTCTCTGAATGAGACGTAGACTTGTTTGTATGCACCCTCACTCCTTTCCATTATTCATACACTGTAATCTAGAATTGGTCAATGGTGGCATAGCTGGAGGTGACTGTAATA